AAAGCTCTTTTCTCAGCTTTTCTGAGTAGTTTTTTTAGCCACTCTGATCTCCTTTGTTAGTCTGTTCCTGGCCTGATTATACAAAATTTTATCCCCACTTCTGTAAGCATCCTCTTTGGCGTGACGAATCTGTTTTAGTTTTCCAGTAAACCACGGTTTATCATTATTAAATGATAAGAATGTCCTGGTAGGAATGCACATATCTTCACAGAAACTGATATATGAAGTTACAGTCTCTGTGAGCTCGTCCAGATCGGTGGCAGCAGCTTCAAAGACGCTCCAGTCAGTGAGGTCAAAAAAGCTTGTAAATCCTGCTCTGCTTCATTAGTCCATCTTTTTACAGTCCTTAATACAGGTTTAGCTGATTTCAGTTTCTGCCTGTAGGTCGGTATAAGATTAACCAAACAGTGATCAGAGAGCCCCAAAGCTGCTCGTGGAACAGAGTGATATGCATCCTTAATCCGTTTTGTTAGGAAGGGAACGGACATTCGCGAGATGAATGCTTGGGAGCGCAGTCCGAAAGCCGCGCGTGTGGAGTTTCACCAGGGCGCCGGCGCGTTTCCCTCTTCTGCGTCTTCATGCGTGTTTGAACAACACCGCTGTACCTCTGACTAGAATGTCCAACAAAACATCCGAATAATCAAAAACCGGAAAAATGTTGTCCGGGATGTGCTGCTTAATGTTAAGGAGTTCGTCTCTGGTAAAACTTATAGAAGAAGAATGACAAAACACAGAACAAACAAACAAAAACAATAGAAGAATTGCGGAGCTCAGCGTCCTTGCTGCCATTTGCGGCGCCATGCTGATGTGTGGCTTCAGGAGAAACCTCCCCCTACTCACCATCATGGACAGCACTGTGACTGCAGTGGAGTCATTCAGGTTCCTGGGCACCACAATCTCTCAGGACCTGAAGTGGGACACTCACATTGACTCCATTGTGAAAAAGGCCCAGCAGAGGTTATACTTCCTTCGCCAGCTGAGGAAGTTCAACCTGCCACAGGAGCTGCTGAAACAGTTCTACTCCGCCATCATTGAATCCATCCTCTGCACTTCAATAACTGTCTGGTTCAGCTCAGCTACCAAATCTGACCTCAGAAGACTTCAGAGGGTAGTCCGGACTGCTGAGCGAATCATTGGTACAAGCCTCCCTTCTCTCCAAGAACTGTACTTATCCAGAGTGAGCAAAAGGGCTGGCAGAATCACTCTGGATCCTTCACATCCAGCACACTCCCTCTTTGAACTGTTACCATCTGGTCGACGCTACAGAGCACTGAGCACCAGAACGGCCAGACACAGGAACAGTTTCTTCCCTCAGGCAATCCATCTCATGAACATTGATTTTCTGGTATTATATGAATCAAAAAGAATGTAATAGTTGTTGTAAGAAACCCATATGCACAATATAACATATGATTGCACCTAAGATGAGTGTCTGATTATATAGTCAGCAAATATCAATATGAGTGTGGCCATGTATGTTTTTCAGCTATTGAAAAAGTTCCTCAGAAAGATTGATATATACAGTATTTGTTTATGTTAAGTTACTCAGGGACATTTATCCTCACCAAACAAACTCAAATTCCCTTCACTTTACAGAACGAAAGCCCAGACTGCTGAACTCAGTGAAAAGCAGAGAGGAACCGCTCTGTAAAATGTGAATATATCAATTAGTAAAGTGGCCATGACTGTTGAAAGTTGTGAAAGATGGTGATTTAAGGCCACAGCCAATATACTATACGTATAGACTTTTTCAATAATAAAAAAAGGAGTAGACTTGAATGTAAAGGTAATTGTTTAGACTTTCTGGAACATCCATGCCACATGAATTGATCGATTTATAAAAGTCTGCTCCGAATCACCACAAAAAAGTAAATAACATAGACAAACATTAAATTTAAAGCTTTATTTTGCTCCATTCATTGGCATTAAGGTCTGAAAACATAAGCTGTAATAGCAGATGGAAAAGCAGTTACATGCATCATTACCATCAAGGCCATTTAGATGTTTACCATGTCACATCCTGAGGTAAATCCGGTTGCTTTAGCTATACATCTAATCTGCAGTCAATAACTGAGGTCTCCAACTTGTACTTCTAAGAATTTGCTTACATAAACCTGCAGCCAGAGGTTGTGTAAGGTGTAATTGTTTTGCAATCTCCAGTCATGGTCACTCATCCCTTGATCTGCAGCGGACCTGAGCTCAAAACGCAAGGACATAGCAAAAATAATAGCAGCGGGAACGTATCATGTTCCCTCCCTCACAGGAGTGTCAACATAATGACGTCTATAGCCATATAGATAATTGTGGCCGAATGCTTTCCTGTGTCAGCTTAAAAAAATAGCTGGACTGTTTAAATAGCAGGCAGACTAATATTTACCAGAGATTTTCTCTGAGGAAAGTGCGAAAGGAAAGTGGGGGTTGGCAGTTCTTCGGGATGGCGTAACCGTGGTGCCTGTAATTACCCTGAATATGCCTCCAGGCTGGCCTATCAGAGGGCTTCCTCGGATGCTCGAGTGTGGCACATGGCATGACATTTGATCACTCTCTTATCATGTGTTTTCCTTTTGGGAGAGGTGCTAGCTTAAAAGGGGGGATTACTGGGCTGAGCCTGGTCTGATAACCCCCTCGGTTTGTCGAACGCCACACACATAACCACTGACCTCTTCTCTGACTAAAGGAGTGTCTGAATTCAACCCAAGCTAATGTTTGACAGGTTAACACATGCTAATGGGCTCAGAGAACCAGACATTATTTACTTACCACTGAATATCCTTCACACGCATTACCTTAAAGAGGGTACTCACACTGAAAGTGTACATGTAGGTGGAGATGTGGGTAATGTGAGTATATGTACTTGGTAATTGCAGTGTTTTCTATTCTCTTATTTCCTCATACATCTCAAACACCTCCAGACAATTTGTCCACACGTCTCCTTTATCAGCAATGATGACTACGCTGAGTTTCTAACTTAAGCAATGTTTATCATTCCTGTGGAGACACTCCGGGTATTAGCTTTGAAGGCAGATGTTGTGTTGAAACGGAAACACAGGCAACACAATCACTGGTAGGTTTAACGCTCTCACATTTGGAGGCGTTTCATGTAGGCGTTTGTGATCAGAAGATGCTCCAGTTTCAGTACAAATCACATGTGTTTCATTGTAATAAAGATGTTTTCTCTTCCTATGTTTCAAAAGGAAAACATACAGTAGGTATGGTAACAGATTATGCTGTAGTTATTTTCAGAAGCTCACATGCAGCCACAAAATTTTTTATTTTATTTTATTTAATTTTAATTTTTTTTATTAAGTTTCTATTTTGGAGGTAGAAAAAGATGTTTGAATAAAGTGCTGTGACAGAAATCAATTTACAACCAATCAATAATTGGAGTCCACAGAAAATGTACATAGATATTTTACATAATGTATTTTCTAGGGCTGTCAAAGTTAACTTAAGATATTAATTAAATGTGTAACAGAATAATTTTTAACACATTTTAACAAATTTGATATTAATACTATTTCATTCTGCTTTTAAAAAACATGAAGTTACTAATGGTTATTTTATTGTATTGACATCTTTATTTATTAACATTAAGAAAAAAAGTTAAAAAAATCTTTATAATATCATGTTTAATATTTATAATACAGTGGATCTTTATGCACAACAGTAGCTGCTTTTATAGTTTTCGTCCACAGAAAATGTACATAGATATTTTACATAATGTATTTTCTAGGGCTGTCAAAGTTAACTTAAGATATTAATTAAATGTGTAACAGAATAATTTTTAACACATTTTAACAAATTTGATATTAATACTATTTCATTCTGCTTTTAAAAAACATGAAGTTACTAATGGTTATTTTATTGTATTGACATCTTTATTTATTAACATTAAGAAAAAAAGTAAAAAAAATCTTTATAATATCATGTTTAATATTTATAATACAGTGGATCTTTATGCACAACAGTAGCTGCTTTTATAGTTTTCTTTTTTTTTTGTAAAGTGCCTTGAAAAGCAACCTTTAAAGATGCTACAGTACATAAAAATAAGTTTAGTACTGTTATTATTATAATCATATTTGAGGTTCCCAGGCATTGAAATGTTTGAAAACTCCTGTACTTGTCTATCCCATCTGACCCTTATGTAAAGAAAAAATAAGCTTTCTTTGATCATGTGTTATATTGCCTCTGGTGCTCCCATAAAAATAAAAAAAGTTGCACGTGACAGCCCTTGTTATCTTAATTGTTTAAAATTGCGTGACTCCTAATTAACACATGCAAATGAATCCTAATTGCTCTTACTAATGGGCCATGCTCTTATTAATTCATTTATCATAGTTTTTTCTTAATTGTGAAAAAAAGTCTGAAATGTGCCTGATTGATGTTTATATCATGAATATACAGCACTGAGCACTGAAGATAGCAATGTGCTGAAACAATGTGGTGCTTGCTCGTGTCAATGATGCAATTTATAAAATAAAAAATATGTTTTTTGTAGACTTTTCCAGTCTTGAGTGAATCAGTGTGTGGTTAGCCACTCTCTTGTTCATTATAATGAATATACAGTATAGCAAGCATTTGTGCAATTAGACATTTTGATAAAGAACGTACAGATGTGTACAGAGGTTTCAAATGAAAAATGCATCCAGGCTCCAAGTTTGATCACTTTCAGCCTAGCAAATGCGGCTTGTGTGCTAATTGCAGTTTAGTGAACAGTGACAAGGTTTCTCTCTCTTGCAGGATTTGGTGACCAATGTGTCACCGCGAATCGTGCGTGGGACTACCTCAGGTCACATTTTCGGTCCTGGCCAGGGCTCGTTCCTCAACATCGAGCTCATTAGTGAAAAAACAGCCGCCTACTGGTGCAAGAGCGTGGCCGAACTCAAAGCTGACTTCCCCAAAAATGTGAGTTCACTTTCAGCTCAGCGTGTGACTTCTCTTGTCTTTATCTCATCTCTATCTCTCCTTCTCTTTTACTCTTATTCCTACAGAAGTTTTCTCATGATATGATTCATTACTTTGTTTCTCACCTTTTGTGGCTGGGGAGCCTGTCAGTGTTTTATCAACAGCCATAATTATCCATAATAGCGGTGCCATATTTTTCCCTCGTTTTCTGTCCCTCAGTAATTTGAGTCGCTTTTGCTCTGTGCATGTTAACTGCTTCACGAGTAATTGTGTAATAGAATCTCACTAATAGAAGATTTTCCAAGGCCTTCATTCTCTTCTCCTCCCTCCTCTCAGTCGCTCTGCAGGCAGATGACAATAGCTTTTTGTAGTGTTCTTTTCATCGCAATCAGCCATCTCTTTTCTCTCTAATCTTTTGCAATGAGACAGTCCATTTGAGCACAAAATAACTTTTGTTGTCTGTCTGCTGCACTCAAGGGTGAGATTAATTTTGAATTACAGGGTGCAATTATGAAGCACAACGTCACTTTTCACAATAACTCCTTGAGCCCCTCCTTCACACAGATGTGGGTATATTTTTTTTCAGACTGGCATTTACCTTAATGTCTACATAGGCAACTATATTCAATACTATATTATATTGAATGTCATAATGCCCTATTTAGGTAGCAAATCTGCATGCCAGACAAATTGGCACTTTTTTTTTTTAGAGTTTGAAATTAGCATGTTGTTAAGATTAGAGTGAAGTATAGTGAAAAAATTACATAGCACAAATATTTTTGGTAAAATAAGTCATTTTAATTACATGCTTTCCAGTACTGAATGAAATATTCAAAGTAACCTATGTGACTGACTTATTTCAGTAGAATTCAATAGGTAGTACTTGCTAGTTTTGGTTATCGCAAACTACACCCCTGGGTGACAGCTTCAGCAGTAAAATGTATTTAAGTAGTTATTGCATAATATTTCTGTTTAATGTTTTCTATAGTTGACTTTTGTCAAAATGTTGCAAGATTAATCTGAAAATAAATGAAAGACATACACTACAGTTTGTAGCGCTAACACAGAGTGGTATAACTAACGTCTAATGTCCCTGTAAATAGCTTTAAATGTTTATAAATAAGGCAATTACATAACGCATAATTCTAAGACCAAAGACGCAAACAGCTCTGAGTAGAATGTCCCTGTTGTCATCTGGGAATTACAATAAGGCATGAACACACTATTTGACGTTAGCATGTTGCTAAGCTAACAACATGTTTATTCTGGTAAACATTACAATACATAGCACTCACAGATATTGCACTGCATATCTGAAGTTAATTCTACTTCTGTCAGGACCACTATCGTCAAAATGATAGATACTTAGCATAAAGTTTGGTTTGGCGGTATGGTTCTGTTCTGGGCAAAAAACTCCCTGCCCATCCATGCAGCCTGTCATGAATGAGCAGGGAGAGCAGCAATAATAACCCCCCTAGGGTTAACAGAACAGAACAAGGCAGATATCATTAATGTACTTAATGATATTTAAGTGTAACACTTTATTCAAGATAAAAGCGTCTGATTAGCAAGGAATATCAGAAAGCCAAGTCCTGACTGTGGCGAAAGGAGGAGCTGAGGATGGGGGAGGGTAATTTGCTCCTGAGCAAGCTGAAAAGCTGCTGAATAATACTGAATAGAGCTTATATAGGAATACCGCGATAGGTGTCGTATTCCTATAGGTAGATGTGATCAGCTGAGAATCAGCTGATGCAAGCTTGACTCACGGGACCTGCCAGAACTAACGCTTAATTTCATCTAACCCTAAAAATGATTTTTGTTGGTGTAAGCCAGTGAAGTTGATTTAGTCATATTAAATAATATTTGTGAATTTTGTCAAACCAATTAATTTAGAAATTGCCGCATGAAGCATTCTTTTTATGGTGTGTGTAATTTGATCAGTTTTTATATACACTGAACTACTTTGTGAATGAAATAAATTTATTTATGGTTAACACTTCTCTCACTTCACCTCGTCCATCATCTTGGATTTGTGCTTTCAATTCTTGCCGCAGTGCATCCCATGATTGCCTTCTCTATAAAGGATATATTAGAATTTGACCAAAAAAGGCCTCTCAGGAGGAATCATAATTGAAATGCCTACATTTAGCTATGATCCTTTAAAGTGTTTCCTCTGTAGGCAGCACATTCAATTTTGGATCAGAGCATCTGTCACATATCAGTGAGATAAACATAATATACACACTGTAAGACTCTCATCGATAATGCTCATCGATTTTGTGCAGGTTTCAGCTATTCAACACACCCATTATCTACATTTACTATTTACAATTTCCATTTCCCCCCAACGCTCCTCGTCAGCATGTCGTGACCCACGCGGGCCACACTTTAGGAAACACTGAAGTGTGTGTTTGGCGGAGCTCATCACAGTGTGTGACAGGAGTGATGGGCGCACGCCGCTGGATGAAATGAATACTCAGAGAAGCGTAATGAATAACAAAACCACCACAATAATGTCAAATTATACCGGCTCACACATTTCAGCCCCACAAACACACTCTCTGTTAGCCTGCGAGGTTAGGAACACATCTGTGACTGAAGAATAAACGTGGCACGTAGAAGATGCAACCCCGCCCCCTTCTCTTTTTTCATTTCCTCATATCACCGCATGATTGACAGTTTCCACAGTGATGGGGGTCCCTAGAGGGCTAGTGTTGCCAGTGCTGGTGGACGGGCTCGGTTACCTCAGCACAGCGGTATTAAAGCGATAACAGGGTGATTCCTGCTTCTTAGAGATGCAGCCTGTCTCGATCACTCCCTTTTCTCTGTCTGATTAGAAAAGGGAAGAGCCATTTCCTGCATTCACATTCACAGAGTTATTTCATCTCAAACTTGAGTTTCTAAATGCAGGATAACGAAAAAGAACCGACTTTGTGTTACAGTATATTACAGATAGGCATGTATAGACAGAGACCCGGCCCTCAGTTATCCTCCTGATGCCAATAAAACATCGACACTGCTTTTCTAGACATGCCTCAGCCAAAATGTGATTGCTTCTTATATTATGACTATGTAGTGAGCATTTGTGAATTCTGACGTTATGATAAAGACAGTACGGCTGTGTTTGTAAAGGTTTCAAAGGGAAAAAATCCATTCATGCTTCAAGTTTGGTCACTCAAGTTTGGATTTATTTCATCTCAAGCTTGAATTTCTGCTAAATGCAAGATAGCAAAAAGAACTGACTTAATCTTATATTACAGATATACATGTATGTACAGAGACCCGGTCCTTAGTTATTCTCCTGACACCAATAAAACATCGAAATCGCTTTCCTTGCCATGCTTCAGCCGATCAGCATGTGTGGTTGAGTGGAACTCCCAGGGGTGAGCGGATGAGAGGAGGTGGGGTTAGAGGTGCTACAGGTCCCGGTGAGATCCAGGATGGATGGACTCATAAACTTCAACACATGCTTTGGCCGCCAAGCATTCCTCCCAGTGCCCTATACACCGATTTGTTTCCCTTAAAAGCACCCGGCGAGGAGGAGACACATGGCGTATATCTCTCCGCTTTATGGTGCGATTACAGTGTCTCCGCATACAGCGAGAGTAATACAGCTAAATCCTGCCTTGCCACAGAGGAGCTGAATAATGCCGTCAGCGTGATGTTTTTATTGTTTTAATAATACGTGCATGCCACTGGGTGTCTACAAATGCACTGAATTATAAAGCAGCAGAGTTTAAGGTGGGGTAATAGCTTTTGCTGGGAGCCGGGCTGTTAAAAAATGAAATAAATAAATGCCGAAAAAGTGGCGAATTTAGTGCAAGCGCATCAGGTGAAATTGCACTTCATCAGTCATTTTCATTCCCTCTAAAGTTTTTTTTTCTTTCTTTTCCTCACATTCTTTTCTTCTTTGTCTAGATTATCATTGCCAGTATTATGTGTGGTTACAACCAAGCTGACTGGACTGAGCTGGCAAATATGGCTGAGGTAAGCTGCCATTCTCTGTGTGTGTGTGTTTGTGTTTGGCAAGTTTGCTCTGTTTGCTCCTTACACATCTCCCAACTTCAGAGATTAATCAGGCTTATTGGAAGCATGAAAAGTAAATGAAACATGAATCCATGAAATTAGTTAATGTTCTGAAGATCTTGTTCCTCAAGATATCCATTTAATTCACATGTTTGAAAGTCTGTTAATGTTAAGTTTTTTTTTTCTCAGCATATCACAAAAAGAAGCATTTATTTATCACACGCATTCTCAACACAGTGACAAACACAGTCGCATCCATATTCATAGTTTAAAGCCTCATTGGTTCTGTGGAAAGAGGCTTTTACATTAAATTTGCATTAGATACTGTATCATTGGATTTCAGCCTTTCGGGTGACAGAAGCCAACTGTGCTCACAAACTGTGAATGAGAAGTTGTAAAACTTTAAAAATGTATGTTTGCCATAGCTGGAACAAACCCGCATCCTCTATCATAACCACACTGACCCTGACTGACTAAGTGTGCTCTTCTTTGTTAAAAGGCTTGATAATTCACCCAAGTATGAGCATTGTTCATCATTTACCCACTTCATCTTGGCTTTTCTTGCTTCTGTGGAACACAAAAGGGAGAAATGTTGAAGAATGTACTTGCCAATCTTTTCCACACCATGAAAGTGAATGAGAATCCAGGCTGTCCAAAGTTACAAAAAAAGCACCATATACATTTCATGAAAGCGGTCAATAATATAATTTCTGTCATGACAACTCTTGGAGGGTTTATGGTAGTATGCATATCAGTGTTAGTGTGTTTGGTCTTGGCGGAATAGATCTGCTACGCTGCTGCTGTGGCAGAGCAAATACCAAGACTGGCTTCTGCCAATACATCCACATGCATGCTGTTGTGAGCATGTACTGTAAGAAATACTGCTGCTGCACATATAATATATGAAATAACCACCATATATAATACATTAAATTACCCCAGATCTATACAGGTGGAGCTGGGGAAGGTGGAGGGTTTCTGAAGCGTGCTGCAACAGCTGGCCAGCAAGGACTGGCCAAGTATTTGAATGTTGAGTAGCAAGCTTATTGGCTGCTGATGCACCTGGAACTGGCTGTGCCATGTAAATAATGATGTGATTATATCAAATTGAGGTAGAACCTATCAACCTATGCCATCTAGAGTTTCATGACAGATATACAATACAATACAATATCATATGATATAATAATATACCAGTCAAAAGTTTGGGGTTGGTAATTTTCACTCTAGTCTTCAATGTGACATGATTCTTCAGAAATCATTCTAAAATGCAAATGTTGCGTGCTCAAGAAACATTTCTTATTATCAGTGTTGAAAACAGTTGCTTAATACTTTTGTGGAAAGCGTGATACACTGTTTTTACTGCCCATTTTTGATCAACTTTATGCATCATTGTAAAAAAAAACAAAAAAACATTAATTTCTTCCAAAAATTAAAAAAAAATTTAGTCCTAAATAACAATGAAGACGGATGAAGAGAAACCATACAGGTTTCAAATGGGATGAGTAAATGACACTTTTCATTTTGGAGTCAACTATCCCTCTAAACTCCCAAACAGTTTTTGACAAACTCTGTCCCAACAAGAATACCTGTCCTAACAAGGTAAGACTGAAGCACCTCTTCCTAAAATTCACAAATGAAGAGGAGCTGCTTGTTTAACGTATACTTGAGGGTTTCTGCAGACTGACATTATTGCAGCCGACGTGTGTGTGTGTGTCCTCTGAGGTGTTATAATTCCCGCTGGAGCTGTTTCAGTCTGTATGTAAACAACTGGTGCTGATTTAGACAGGACGTACAGTATGTAAATGCAGACAGGGCTCTGCCATCACTAACACTTACTGCTGCTGGTGCTCTAATTGAGGTGTTGTACGCTCTCGTACCTTCCAGTTTAACTCCTCTACGCCCTCACAGACTCACACACACAAATGCGCTCAGCGAACCAACACACATGCACGTTTACATTGAGAAAACCCAGGAGAAGATTTGGCTCGTGCAGTGAGGAGGCTGGCGTGACAGTGAGCTTCAAGACCAATGAGGAAGACATGTTTGTGAGGGAGTTTAGTGGGAAGTTTTGTGTACAATCATGTCAAGTCATTCTCTACTCTTGTATTGTTATGGCAATCTTCGTCCCCCTCAACATGCCTGTGATATAATATACATTACAGAACAACCCAAAACTATGGCCCTGTTTACACCTGCTATTAAGATCTGTCCACTGAATAATGTATAATGATGTAATAAAAATACAGTGTACCACCAAATAATGGTATGAAACGTCTTTTTTAAGTATCACCGTTTCCACATAAATATTAAGCTGCATAACTGTTGACAAACATTGATAATTATAAAATATGTTTCTTGAGCAGATTGAGAAAACCCAGGAGAAGATTTGGCTCGTGCAGTGAGGAGGCTGGCGTGACAGTGAGCTTCAAGACCAATGAGGAAGACATGTTTGTGAGGGAGTTTAGTGGGAAGTTTTGTGTACAATCATGTCAAGTCATTCTCTACTCTTGTATTGTTATGGCAATCTTCGTCCCCCTCAACATGCCTGTGATATAATATACATTACAAAACAACCCAAAACTATGGCCCTGTTTACACCTGCTATTAAGATCTGTCCACTGAATAATGTATAATGATGTAATAAAAATACAGTGTACCACCAAATAATGGTACGAAACGTCTTTTTTAAGTATCACCGTTTCCACATAAATATTAAGCTGCATAACTGTTGACAAACATTGATAATTATAAAATATGTTTCTTGAGCAGAAAATCAGCATATAAGAATGCTTTCTGAAAGATCATGTCACACTGAAGACTGGAGTAATGACTGCTAACAAATATTAAAATAGGAAATGGTTATTTTGATGTTTCATATTATGAATGATTTTACTGCATTTTGATCAAATAAAAAAAATCTTACCAACCTCAAATTTTTGATTGGTATTGTACGCCACTTTCTACATCAGTGTATTACTTTGAGTTTTGAATCGTTAGACCATCAGCACTGACTGCTTGTAACTACTTGAAACTGATCTTAATACAAGGAGTAAATGGTGTATTTTATTCTGATTTTCTCTCAGGCTTTTAGGCGTTTGAATCAGAATTTTGATGCGTCATGCTTGCTTTTCAAAACATGCTGTGCTTTTATGAATCTTTCAAAGACATAGAAGATATGAAAGTGGCCTTTCTGTGGCGAGGAAGCCTCACATATTCTTGCTTTAGCAGTGAGAAGGGTCTGAGAAATTTCTTAATGCCGATCATTAATTCATTCATTAAAGAAGTGCACTGTGTTAAAGGGCCCAACAGAACTGTCTATCAAAGGTGCCTTGATGTAGCTATTAGCTGGATTATGCCAGGCAGCGTGCCTTTGATCACACTGGAGTGGTTAGTTCTTGTCAAAGTTAGTGTCAGGTCTGATCAGTGTTTGTGTTGAGGCCTCTGGCTGTCTTATGGAGCGTATCCAGACATCCTCCACTCATTCTGTCTCACTAAAACACACACAAACATAATTTTTCGGAGTCCTGCAGGTAAGTCACAGCTCAAAGCCTAGGCCATATGAAGACCGAAATCATCTGGGCCTACAAATGGAAATCTACTATATGTGCGAGTACTTATCTTCATCTCGACGACCGCAACAGTTGGCTTTTGTTTCCTGTTCAAGTGGGGAGCTTTGATGTGATGCTATTTACTATTTCTGGATAAGAGGTCATCAGCTTTGAAGTTGTATGAGGTACATAAAAGCTCTTCCTCATAACACACAGATGATGCTCTTGTTTTCGTTTCGCCATTGTAAGGATTCACATGTAAAATTACTTCAATTCAGTCCAAGGATGCCATATTTCCTGCAAGTCGCATGCAGGTGGAAAACGCAGAGAGGTGCTGAATGTTAAGGTGCAGTGTGTGTAAATATCATCTCTCCTTAGTTGTGACTCTCCTTGTTGAGTCCACCAGCCTGTTCATCAGGGGCTTTATAAATTTGGTTTCCGTGGCCATGCAGCTGCATACGAATCTAAGATCACCACCAAGCAATGGCAAGCATCAGCTGAAGTGGCGAAGAGCTCGTCACTATCGGGCTCAGGAGCAATGGAAACACATTCTCTGATTAATCACTCACTCTTCACCATCTGGCAGTCTGACAAGTGGATCTCGGATTGACGTTTGAATCTGAATCTGACAGAGAGGGCTACCCATATTCCCAGCCTTCCACGCATGCATATTGCCAGCTGTAAAATTTGATGGAAGTGGAATAAGAATAGTGTAGGGCTGTTATTTTCACGGTTATGTTAGTTTTTCCCTTTAGGGAATTTATAACACATTGACACACACATATACATTATATATATACATATATATATATATATATATAAATATATACTCTCTGTGTGTGTGTATATTTATATAGAATATTAATATTTATATTTATATAGAAGCACACACATTCAGAAGTTTGGGGTCACTATGTTGTTGTGTACTTTCTCTGTAAGGATCAAATATGACAGTAAAGATATTGTTACTGTAGCGTCTGGACCAGTCAGACACCATTTTTCATTTGATTTAACAAATCAATTATTCATTAGATTAACAAACGTTCACAGACCCCTCACCCAATAAACATACTGGGTGCCAATTTGTCTGTGAACAGGGCCCAGGACCCTGGTTACCATGGCAACCCTGATACCAGATACATTTACGACTTAATGGTATGCGAAGCAGGGAAAATCACTGCATGTTCCATCGCAATAGGCACAAGGCACAGTAGAAATTGACTTTTCTACTAATTAATTCATAGGAAAACCTTTCTTTGAATGAACAGTGTATCCTTCCGGTCATGTTGTATATTGTCTTTGCTATTTTTAGACTATTTTATGCATGCTTACGTTATGATTAATTATTCATATTTCCCCATGAGCTGATTCACTACATTACAAACACACACTTTATATATATACAGTATATATATATATACATACAGCTGCACAACTGTTTTCAACATCAATAAGAAATGTAAACACCAAATCAGCTTTGCCATCACAGGAAAAAAATTGTTTTTTAATATATTAAAATGGAAGACAATCATTTTAAATTGTAGTATTATTTCATAATATAACTGTTTTTACTGTACTGTTTTACTGATCAAATAAATGTAGCCATGGTGAGCAGACATTAAACAAATCTACGCACTCACACGCACAATAGGTATATTGAGAGCCATACAGTTACAATTTCATTACAATGTAAAATTACTGATCAAATTTAATAACAATTTGATCACACTATTTTATGTGTCCTTGTTATGGTGTAATATTCAAGTACTGAGTAATATTAATTAACATTTACTTACTATAGGGTTGGATTAGGGTTTGGTTTAGGGTTACTGTATTTAATAATGCATAATTTACTGTTATTACTGTATTACGTAATGTGTAACAAGTAACATGTAATTGTAAAATAAAGTGTCAAAATGAAAAAAATTAATGGCAGCTAATAAAATGTATGCATTCTAAAATGTTTTTATTTATTTATTTTTATTAACATATAATTCATTCAAAATTCGTATCACTCAACATTAGTTCCGACCCCAGTAACATTCATGTGTATGCAGGAAGGAAGCAGCCACTAACTAATTCCAGCATTTACTAGAAACCCTTCCCAGAAGAGTGTGTTTTTGCAGTATGGACCAAACATATTATTCTCCATCATTTGTGGAATGAAATATTCACAAAGCAGATGTCCTCATATTTTTGGCCATATAAAATATTATGCACCTTATACCAGCACACCTTGGAGTAGATTTGCACAGTTCTGTCTCCTGCCTGCCTTGTCTGTCATTTTGTGTCTTTCAAACCCAGCCAAATCGCTCATTCTCTCACTCTCTCTCTCTCTCTCTCTCTCTCACTTACTATCCCTCTCTTTATTTCTTTTTTCTCTCCTCTAATGGCTGTCAGGCTTTAGGAAAGCCATGGCTGTGTGTCTGAAGCAGCAGGTTTGTAGGGTGTGTAGCGGATAAATCGTTCTGGCTCTCCCCATTTCAGTGCGGTTCAGAACGGCCGCCAGAGCGTAATTGCCTGTTGAATGCTTTCCCACTTCCAGCACCCTCGCTCACTCACCCGCACCCCATCCACCTGTGCTGCCTTTTTCTGCTTCCCTTTTTTTAAAACGACTCTGTGGCAGCTTTGACATGCCAAAGAGTTCTTCTGGGTCTATTTTAAGAACACCATTTTATGCTTTTTGAATGCTGGGAAGTGCTCAGGGTTTTTTCTTTTTCTTTTTGTTATAGATTTGACTCTTTTTCTTTGTGCTGCTTCTGGGAGGCTGTTTTACACACAGTGGCCCCAAAAAGCATTTGGACATCTTAATATATTAAACATCTATTTATTTCAGTGCAAAATGTCATACCAAGTGGCATTTGTAAATAAATATTGCACAGCTCTTTTCTATTTTTCTTTAGCCATTTTGCTCAAAATTTTTTGTGTCTTGATTTTTATGAATATATAGACTTTATAAATGTAAAATGAAAAATTATGACACATCTTGTTAGTGTTTGTGACGTCTTTAAATGTCATTGGGTTTGTCAGCGAAGGACATATATACACTGTCATTTGTGGCTGTTTATGAAGTATTAAAGAGCCTGGTGAAACATGTATGTATGTCTTGATTGATTGAATTGCTATTTGATTGGACGTGCACATTTAAACTTAGCCACATAAATGTAAAATGGATATAAATTGAATCTACTATTTCTGAGTTATATGGAAATATATAGCTATAACAAGAGCTCTCTTCCACTAATATGGCAATTATTGTTTGAGTTTCATGATTGCACATCCATGCATGCATCCATGTGTCTTATTATGATCGCATGATGCTTACGTATGTGACCGCATTTACACATCTTGCATGAGTCTCAAACCACCTCCTGAGCTTGTTTGAGTGATCGGATTGTTATCAGTCTCAAATGCATCTTGTAGGGCATTTACACCTGGTCTTGTCATGGTCAAATAGCAATCCGATTTGTAGAAATGCATGAAGTGACTGTGTGTCTTTTGCATGAGATATTTCTGCTTTGGATTTATTTGTCTGTAAATGTAATTTTGCAGTGCAACTATTCTTGCATATATTTAATTACACAAGTGATTATATGTTAATGGTGTTTTACCTCATTCTTTTGTTTAACAGGACTCTAAAGCTGATGCTCTGGAGCTGAACCTGTCCTGTCCTCATGGCATGGGAGAGAGAGGTATGGGACTGGCCTGTGGACAGGTAAGACAACATTTAAAAAGCACTGCTGAAAAACTCACTTCTGATTTCAAAATGAAAATTCTGTCATGATTTGCACACCCTTATGTTGTTTTAAATCCTTGTGATTTTCTTTCCTCTGCAAAACACAAAATGAGAAATATTTAAGCTTGTTTTCCACGCAATTATAGTGAACAGGGACCAATGCTTTCAAGCTTCAGTAAAGACCATAAAAGTGGTCCCTGCGATTTATAAACTGTACAGTACATTTGTGTGAAACAGACAGAAATTCAAGTAATTATTCTCTATTTATCGTGACGCCTGTCCTAGATCTCCTTGGAGCGTTCATGAGAAATATAGTAATGTTCTGTTTGTGAATTAACCTTTTACATTGGATCTTTTAAATAGCAATTGATTTTAGGGCTGCACATTATGGGATAATTATATTATTATAATTATTGTTGCTGTTGTTGTTATTGTTATTGTTAAGTAAAGAAATAAAATAAGAAATATTGCCATTGTAATATTTCGGTAACATTAAGCCCACTGAGTCAAGTCAAGTCAAGTCAACTTTATTTATATAGCGCTTTTAACAATACAGATTGTGACAAAGCAACTGAACAGTATTAATTAGGAAAATAGTGTCAATAATGCAAAATGACAATAGTAAACACTCATTTTTCAGTTAAAGACAGTTCATCATTGAATTCAGTGATGTCAACATCCAGCTCAGTACAGTTTAAATAATATCTTTGCAATCATGTCAACGATAACGCTGGAAATGAAGTGTCCCCAACTAAGCAAGCCAGAGGCGACAGCGGCAAGGAACCAAAACTCCATCAGTGACAGAATGGAGAAAAAACCTTGGGAGAAACCAGGCTCAGTCGGGGGGCCAGTTCTCCTCTGACCAGACGAACCAGCAGTACAGAAAAATCAATATAAGACGTAATAAAACAGACGATGAATAATATTAACAGCAATTATTATATGATGCAATCAAACTTATAGCAAAATGTGGTAGTTCTGTATGTTGTTTCAGGGTTGGCATCATCTGAGGTCCTCTGAGGGGTTGCATCATCACTTCTCAGGTCTTCTGGATCCAGACTGAAGCTTGTGTAAATCCTAGTTACCAGGCAAAAGACAGAGAAACAAATACAAACATAATTAGCGTAGCTGCTGTTCCAACCAAGCAAAAATGATTTGTTTAACCCAAACTAACGAATAATAATGTGGCGAGTAACTGATGGCGAGTCAAGTTCAGAACTCATGTCCAGTTTATTGAACAAGATACAAAACAAAACTAAAACACAACAAACTGGAGCACTAGAACTTGAATATAAATAGGCTTCACAATACTCACCAACAGCAGGTTACAAAAACAAAGCTAGACACGAGACTATACAAACATGATGTCACACTATGAGCCAGAGACACAAGGTAAGGATGCAAACAGGAGGGTTTATTGACAAATCGGAGAGCAAGTTGATGACAGGTGAGTATGAGAAGGTAGAGAGTTCTTGGGTTCTTAGCTCTGGGTATTGAGTTGGTATCCTTTGCAGGTATCCGGGAATGATGAGAACCGGATCGTAGGAGAACAGAATCAGTGGAGCTTCTAGGGGTAAGTAAACAAACAGATCAGACACAGGTAGGAGTCAGGCTAAGTTCAAGCTGGTGAACGGTAGACCGGACAGTGAGGCAGTGAGAGGAGTGCAGGGATATAGTGCACTTAATGAGTCTCTGCAGGTGCGGGTGATCAGTACTCTCCAGTGATTGCGATCTGTATATCTTCTTTAGTATATCTTCCCGGGCCACCCAGGACCTCTCCTCCAGTCCGTATCCTTCACAGTCGACTAGATATTCCAGTCGGCCGCCCCGTTACCGCAAATCCAGAAGGTCCCTGACCTAGTAAACGGAGGGTTGGTCCAGGATTTCAGGAGGAGGAGGTACATACGGCTCGGTGGGTCCTGTTGTGGAAGAACAAGGTTTGAGGAGGGAAACATGGAATGCGGGGTTCTAAGGGAAACAGGTCAATTTAATGTTGAAAGCTGTTCTGTGAAAGAGTTGGTTAGGCTTGCTCCAGACTGGCTAGGGTCTGATTTATGACATCCTGTTGTCTTGGGCCTCTTGTGGAATTTTTGTGCTCCTAATGTTTCAACCATGTTTTGACCAAACCTTAGATTTTCTGATTCGGTCTGATATCCTACAGGGTGAATTCGGTACCTGGATGGAAGCTAGAGAAGGTAGGTGACTTCAATAATCTGCCTCTTTATGGGGAAAGGACCAATGTAGCAGGGACTCAGCTTCTTACAGGGCAGGCGGAGGCGCAGATCCCAGACCTTCTCTCCAGGCTGGTAAGTAGGAGTAGAGGTGCGCCAGGCATCTGCGAAGGCCTTGTGCCTCCGCACTGCTTGTTGGAAGGGGACGTGAGCTGAGTCCCACGCTCTCTCGCTCGCCCGGAACCAGTAGTCCACAGCTGGAACCTCCGAGGGCTCCTCTGTCCATGGGAAGAGCGGGGGTTGGTAGCCGAGTATGCACTGAAAATGGGTCATGCCGGTGGTGTTCTGTCGGAGGGAGTTTTGTGCATACTCGGCCCAGGGGAGGAAACGCCTCCAGCTGTGCTGATCTTCGTGGCAGTATGACCGGAGGTAACGCCCGAGCTCCTGGATCCTTCGCTCAGTCTGGCCGTTCGTCTGAGGATGGTACCCAGAGGACAAGCTCACTGTCACTCCCAGGAGTCGGAAGAAGGCTTTATATACACAGGAGATGAACTGGAGACCCCGGTCTGAGACCACATCTTCCGGGATGCCGTAGTTTCTGAAAACATGGGTAAATAAGCACTCTGCAGTTTCTAGTGCTGTTGGCAGACCTTTGAGGGGTATACATTTACAGGCATTACAGAAACGGAAACAGAAACGGTCGACTACGACGAGGATACAGGTGTTTCTCTCAGAGATGGGTAGGTCAGTCACGAAATCCACTCCTATGTGGGACCAGGGTCTCCGTGGTATGGGTAGCGGGACAAGCTTGCTTATGGGAAGATGACGAGGAGTTTGAGACATGGTACAGACTGAGCAGCTTCGGACGTAACTGGTGACATCCCGGACCATACTGGGCCACCAGTACCAGGCTTGGAGGTGCGAGAGGGTCCGTTTGCTGCCTGGGTGTCCAGAGCCCGGTACTCTGTGAACTGAGCCCAGAAGGGTTTGGCGTTGTGACGTTGGGACACAGGTTTTCCCTTCTGGGCCTCCCAGTAGAGCAGGCTCGGTGCGAGTGGCATCAAGGATGTCTTTGGAGATGTTCCATTGAATGGGGCTGACTATCAGAGCTGGAGGGAGAATGGGTTTCCGGTTCGGTCGGTGTGTCGGGAGAGTGCAGGCGTGGTAGGGCATCAGCTTCCCGATTTCCGGGACGGTAAGTGATGGTGAACTGGAACCGAGTAAAGAACAATGCCCATCTGGCTTGACGTGGGTTGAGTCTTTTAGCATCTCTGAGATATTGCAGATTTTTATGGTCGGTGATGACAGTGAAAGGATGGCGGGCTCCCTCCAGCCAGCGACGCCACTCCTCCAGAGATAATTTGATGGCGAGCAGTTCCCGGTTGCCGATGTCGTAGTTCTGCTCCGCTGGGGTCAGTTTTCTGGAAAAGTAAGCACAAGGATGGAGGCTGGGAGGCTCACCATAGTGCTGCGACAGCACGGCCCCAACTCCGGTGGTGGAGGCGTCCACTTCCACCACAAAGGGAGCTTGGGGATCAGGATGACGAAGGATTGGGGCCGTGCTGAAGGCTTCCCTGAGCTGGTCGAATGCTTCGTGGGCATTGGGGCTCCAGGACAGGGACTTGGGTTTTCCTCGGAGCAGGGAGGTAAGAGGAGCTGCGAGTATGCTGAAGTTCTTGATAAACCGTTGGTAGAAGTTTGCGAATCCAAGGAATCTTTGCAGATCCTTAACAGTTTGGGGCTGCGGCCAAGTGGTCCATCTGAATCCCATCCCGGCTGATGACGTAACTGAGGAACTGAACCGTGGAGCTATGGAATTCGCACTTCTCCAGTTTAAGGTAAAGGCTGATGTTGTCGGCGCCTCTGGAGGACCTGCTTCACGTGGTGGCGATGTTCGGCCAGGTTCCGGGAATATTTGAGGATATCATCGATATAGACTATCACGAAGCGATGAAGGAACTCCCGGAACACCTCATTACTCTAAGCAGGTCCTATCATCCTAGGAGTCAGGCTAAGTTCAAGCTGGTGAAAGGCAGTGAGAGGAGTGCAGAGATATAGTGCGCTTAATGAGTCTCTGCAGGTGCGGGTGATCAGTACACAGGTGATTGCGATCTGGTGTGTGTCGGGGCTGGTGACTGAGGTGACTGTGAAGGCAGACACTCCCTGACACATAAGGGCTATATATATATATATATATATATATATATATATATATATATATATATATATAGACACATGGACTAATGACTAACAAGATACACCTGAGAAAGGTCAAGATAATGAACCAATGACAAGACAAAACTAAGAAACACCTGACAAATCAATGAAAACACATGAAACAAAGGAAACACATGGCCAGATCACATACAGTAAGTCAGGAGCCATAATACTGGCAGTATACAAAATAAGACATGAATACATGAACATGAACAAAACCTAGAACAGACATGACAATTTCACAAAAAAAAAAATATATAATAAAATTCAGGAAAAATAATATAATAACCTGTAAAATTATGTCTTAATATTGTAATTTTTCACAAGCTACTTGTGTGTAAAAGAACACCGTGCCATGCCACACTCTGAAACATGCAGTGCATATATTTAATTAATTAAATCGCAGTATTATTGTGTTTTATTTCCTTTAATCATGCTGCCCCAGTTGATCTGGTTCATAAAACTGTCCTGAATGATTTGTTCAGAATTATTCAGTTCTCAGTCTCTCATCCGGCCACAGTGGTTAAAGGTCAATGGAGGAGAAGATTGTCAGTGAATAACAACTTAAATTTAAGTCTGTGCACTTGCGCA